GCCGGGGTGACATAGCGGTAATTACGGGGTTAAATATCAAGGGGTTTAATAGCGAGCCAATCAAGCGGTGCGTAATCATTTTCATATTGCGCTTTTGCACCGCGACTGTTATTATCGAATTTATCTTTTATAAATGCACGCAAACTCCAATTAATGCATTTTTAAATGAATCTTTTTTTTTGGGGGAATATTCATTTACAATTGAAAATTTTTTAAAAAAATAAAAATATATGGCGTATTTTTTATTAATTCATTGGAGCTAGGTTAAAATAAATTTTGGGATTTTAAATTTTCAAGATAGTTCGGGAATACCGCCAAAGTCTTTAGTAATTTTTTTAATCAATACACAGAAAATTATATAAGGTATTAAAATAAGCTGCAACGCTTATCATTTTAATCCAATTTTGCTTATTTTAATACCAAAATGGATTAAAATAAGCAAAATTGGATTAAAATAATAAGCGTTGCAGCTTATTTTAATGCCTTTTAATTTTCTGTGGAACGTTTTAATTACACATATATGAAAAGAATTTGATAAACGAAGTTTCTCGTTATTGAAACGTTGCAATTTATCTTAAATTACAGTTAAAATCCTTGAAGGGTTTTTTTTTTATTTTTAAGTGTATATGTATATACAGTGTTAGAAGGTTGAGATTGAAAGTGACCCTCGACTTGGGAAATGTCCCACGAAGCCAAAGTGCGCGCTCTCACGCATGTAGCATAGAACGTGAGAGGTCGACGAATACCGCACTTGATCTTGCATCATTGAGAGAGGGTTGTAGTAGTCCCGCGCACTGGACGAAGTCGAGAGGAGAGCAGATTAATACATTTACAACCGCTTGGCAATTGTTTTCAAGCGGTTTTGGGGTGAATGAGTACATAGACGAGGGTTGTTCATACATACACCTCGACCGTTAAATCAGACCTTATACATATATATATATATATTCAATATATATATATATGGAATTTGTCTCTGGGGCGTTGAAAAATACACAAAGACCTTATATAAGGGTGTCGAACGAGAATATAAAACTCAATTTATGATTTGTTACCAAGAAATGACTCTTTACCACTTTCATCTTTCTTTATTAACAGAATGTCAATTTGCTCTTTATTCTTTTTCTCATTTTAATTTTTGAATAAACTGCGAAGCACGTTTGGGATAAATTAAATTCTTTCTTACATCAAGATGGATAAGACAAAGTAAAAAGGTCTCTAATAAAAATCTCTAATAAGAAAAAAGGTACAAAAATGATATAAATAGATATAAAATTAGAAAATAATAAAAAAGTAAAGAAATTGGGATAATTCGAGATTGGATAAAAGAAAATGATATAGGACATATTTTTATATATATATATATGTATTGTGATGAAAGATGAAGGGATTTTTTTTTCTTTCATTTTGCTCTGAAATGTAAAGTATGTAACCTTTCAGTTGACTGTAAAAGTTAAGAAATATACTTTCACGATGGATGACAATATTCTGGGATAAAGTCGCTGGCGACTGTTGATATATATATATATATATATATATATATATAAAAGTAAGGAAAGCGCCTTAGAGGATTTGAAATGAGGAAAAAGGAGCAGGCGAACGCCGCACGAGAAAAGTTTTCGCCAGTCCGGAAACGGGGAAGTTTTACCGTATTTGCGCATCCGGTATCATAAATCTTTACTTATCTCCCGCCTCCTCGAGCTGCGGCCAAGTCTCAATTCTCGAATACATTTGCAAATCTGCTCGCTTTTTCGCCTATTTCGTCCTTGCAACACCATCTCTTCAAAAATCACTTTTTCAAATTTCAATCCATTGCCAAAAAAAATTGAAATAATCAATATTTAAATCTTTAGTAGAACTTCTTTTTTTTGAGATCCGGGTTACTTTTTTAAATGCAATTAATTTTTATTTGTAAATTATAGTGGATTTGTAGCAATTAGAACTCATATTTCTTCTATTCAGTTCTGTTGTATTCCATTCTATTCTCTTCTATTCTTTTCTATTCTTTTCTATTTTTTTCTATTCTTTTCTATTCTTTTCTATTCTATTCTGTTCTATTCTGCAAATAGGTTTAAAAAAACCGATCTTTCTTGATATGAAACAAATGTAAGTGAAAGAGAGATAGAGAGAGAGAAATACACTTTTAAAAGAGAGTATTGGTTGAGTTGTTGGACGGATATTCGAGCGGGATGGATAAACTTTGAAGCGACTGTCCCTGGAGCTAATGCATAATTCAGAAATTGTCACTGCCGAGGATATTGCCAATTTGGCGTCGATGAAAATACGATCGGATTTGTTAGACGCGCCTTGGTCCCAAGTACGTCCAGTGAATTTAACACCTTCAATCCTTTCATCCCCCTGGCAGCAACTTTTTAAACTATTAGCAAAACTTTTCTTACATCTGTTATATTAGACAAACTTTTTACACAGACATCTTTTTTTCATTCTCCTATTTTTTTTTAAACATTTTACATAATAATTTTCTTTTATTAAAAAAAAAAACTTTATACTCCAGAAAAGAAATTATATTTTATTTTGAAAAAAAAATAAACTGAAACGTTAATTGAAAGATTATAAAAAATGTAAAAATAATAGTTCAGTTACATTTAGTTTATTATGATAATTTTTATAAAAAAATTTTTCATCCTGTTAAATTATTAATATTTATTTTCTCTTCTATTTTACTCCCCCAAAAACTTAATAATATATATTTAATTGATAAAAGATTCTAATCATTCAGAAATTAGATATAGAAAAATTCTTTTGTATACTATAATTTTGAATGACATTTGAATGAATTATTCTATTATGGAAAAAATGTTAAAAGAAATTCATAAATTATGAAAAAATTCATTATTATCTATAATAAACAAATATGAATATTAAAATCATTAAAAATATTTCCCTAATATTTATTATGTATATGAAAAACTGTTAGTTTTGTTATTTCCTTTTTCGTATAATATACACAGCTGAGCAATTCGACACAATGTTTTTATGGATTATTGATGGTCCAGGCGTATCCTGATGCAGCATAATAACATAATTACGCGTGTGTTGACAAATTGAATCGATTCCAATTTATTCTTTTCACAAGTTCCTTCTGACCACGAGTTTCGTTCGTTCATTATAAATATTTCATGACCGTCTACATTCTCGAATGTCCGTGGAAAATCGCCAGACATAGGATCATCCTCTTTTTCTCTCTCTCTCTCTGTCCACTCGCTCCTATATATATATGCCAGGAATCAGAAATACACTTCGCTACTTTTAATCCGATAATCTTTCATCAATCAGAATCAGGAAAGAGCTTTATGCGCGGTGAAATAAGAAGTGTTAACGTAGAACGGATCAGTATAAAAAATAATGGAGGGTTATGAAAAAGGGGCGAGAAATTTATAACGATATATCTAAAAGAAAAGGACTTTATATAAATATGGTTATATTCACGATCAGTTTTACTCTTTGCTTTTGTATATGTTTTTTTAAATCAGGATTATCTCAATTTTTCATTTGAGAAATTGGATAGTTTCTGGCTAGAAAATCTGTTCTGAACCTGTTCTAAATAATCAATAAATACAGTAGACAGTTTCTATATAGTTATACTATCTAGAAACTAGATAGTATAACTGTCCTGACGTTCCTGAATAATCTAGATAGTTTCCATTCAGTTATACTATCTAGAAACTAGGTACAATAACTGTCCTTACCTTTCTAAATAATCTAATTAGACAGTTTCCATATAATTTAACTATTTAGAATCTTGTTAGTCGTAGCGTTACATTTCTAGCTAATTTCTATTATAGTTTAACTATACAGTGGCTAAATAGAAAATGGTAGTACCTCTGTAAAAAAATTTATAATTTCCGCTTCTCCAAATATCAATTAATTTTCTTTTTTTTTAAATAAAGTAAAAAGAGGTAGAAAAAGGCATTTTAATTACAATAATTACCTTGTAAAAAAAATATTCAAACGAAAATGATAAGAAATATTTATAAATATAATTGAAAATTGTATTTTGCGAGTTGTTCGAATCCTCCGCTGCGAAACATGTCACGGCAGACAGAACAGGAAGTTGAGGGCAAGAGAGAACGGTAGCGGGTGGTTGTAAATAGGAAATCGATCTCTACTGCCGGAGATCGGTCCAATCATATGATTCGATTCCCCGACGATCGTCCCTGTATTGGGCAATAACTGAACACGGCTGGATGTTCCCTCTGTGTGAGTGCGCCAGCTATGAAATTGGCATCAAAAGCGCCTCGTTGTAATAATATCGACATTTATATACGAAAAAGAGAGAGAGATACAGAGGGGGGGGGGGCGGGAGATTTTCACCAATTTCATGAGGAAAGATATAGAGATAGTTAGACAAGGATAAATATCTGTCAAAAAAAAAAAACAAATATTTTTTTAATTCTTATTTTTGAATTCCATCATTTTATTCTTTTCTATGTTCAATTACAATTTTTTCTATTCTGTTCTATTCTAAATCTGTTCTGTTCTATTCTATTCGGTTCTTTTCTATTGCAATTCTATTCTTTTGTATTCCATTCTAATTTACTTCAATAGCATAAATAATGAAAGTTTGCTTTTTTTTCTCGACGTTAAAATTTTTAATTGTTCTGTAATAAATCAATAATAATTATTTGCCTTTTTTTTATTTTCTCCCAACTTGACTAGTTGAAAAATAGTACTATTAAGACATTATAATTTTTAAATAAAATATTGCCAATTTTTTTTTATCCCAATTAAGTTTGAATTTCTGTAAATTAAAATTTCGAAAAAGAAACTATAAAATCATAATATTTGTTTGAAAAATTTCCACTTACCTGAATTTTTGTAATTTTTAATATTTCAATATTCTTGCACATATACATGAAAATATTTATTTATTTTATTTTTTAAATATTAAAAGGTAGAAATAAAAAAATTTATTAATGAACTATTTATGCAATAATTTTTGTTCAATATTAATTGTTAAATTATAATAATAAAATTAATTACATAATTTAAAGAAAATTATTATATTTAGACTCTTATAAAATTACAATGTCGAGATTGAATGTAACAAAAATTAATTGTTGTCAGCCACCTTTTTTTTGAAAAAAAGAACTATTTACCATATTTAAAAATGAATGATTTTTAAATATTAAAATTTACATCATTGTCAGAAATGATAAAAAAAATTTTTTTTTTAATTTTCAAATATATAATAATTATTTGGGCTTTTTTGATTTGCCCTCAATTTCATTTGATGAACAATGGTACGATTGATTGCCGCATGGTTTTTTTGGTTTCAATGGACAGGGTTTAGGTGGCTTTTCATTTTCACAAATCTCGTTGACAACTTCCGGTACGCATGGACAGGAAGTGGGTGGCAATTTTGGTGGTGGTGGACACGGACACAGAACTATTGGTTTAGAGGGTGATTTTGGCAATGGCGGTGGAGGTGGACATATCTTCTTTGGTTGAATATCATGGCAAATTTCTTTTGATATAAATTTACATGGACATGGACTGATTGCGCTAACTTTTGATGGATTACATTTTGATGAATATTCCTGTTTTTCTGCTGGTGTTTCACATTTTTTATTATTAGATTCGCATTTTGATTTTGGTAGACAATCAATTTTACATTTTTTCTTTTCCACTATTTCTTCATTGGGACATGTCATCTTATTTGGTGGTGGACATAATTTTTTTTTCTTACAACTTTCCTTTTTAGTGCAAATTTCCTTGATTGTTTTGCATTTTGAATTTGATGCTTGTAAAATTGTTGCCGTTGAAAAACATCGGGAAAATGATGGAAAAATTGGATTTTTCAGTTCATTCCTTTTTTGCCATAGCTGGAAAATTTTATAGAAAAAAAAAAATTAGTAATTACTTTTTATTATTTATTTACTTTAAAAAATTTCAATAATTGAACATTTTTTGTAATAAATTATTAAATTATTAATTATTGCAATTATTTAAAATAAATAACTAAAAAAAAATTTTCTACTAAATATTTATTGCAGTGAATTATTATTATTATCAATTATTGCAATTATTTAAAATAGTTAAAAAATAGAAAAAAAAATTTGAAAAAGAGGGTAAAAATTGATACGAACCAAGGAATTATTAGTTGCTGGAGAAAAAAGTTTCAAATAAACAGGAACATTGGCTAGTTGAAAAGAATAAATTCCATTCGATGATTTAGAAAAGATTTTCATCATTGATTTCAATGGATTATTATTATAATTATTAATTTTCATATCAAATTGAAAAACTTGTAACAGAGGCTGAGGAGGTGCTTCACGGGGTGGTTGTTTGTAAATTTTCATTTTTCTTTCAAAAATCCAACGTTGCATTTCTTTTGTTATTTTCATTGTTCGTAATTTTCTCGTGAGACAATTACCGATGCAGAGGAAGCATTTTTTGAAAATTGGAGTTGTCGCCTAAATAAAAAAAAAAAGGAACAAAAAAAATAGTTTTTTTTCCTAGCATTTTCGAAGATTGCACGGCCTTTTAGGTGGGCATCGTACACAGAAGGGTTTCCGTTCATGTTTTTTCTTTTTGTGTTTCGCAGGACATGGAAGTGGTTTGCAAGGTCCGTCAGGCGCGGAGCAGGGACTCTTTGTTGGCCAATTTGGCGGATCCTCGCCGCAATCAGTGTCTCCCAGCCACATCATTGGAGCCTGAAGTTTAGAGGTTAATTGTATTTTTTTGATTTTTAGTATATTGAATTTTTTGATTCCACCTCCTGAGATAAAAAAAAAATCATTTTTCTTCCACCCTTTTCCTCCTCAGTCTCAAAAAAAAAAAAAAAAATTGGGGACAAATTTAAAAAATAGGGACCAGCTTGTCGTGTCCATTCGAGTCGGATTTTGTTTCATCATTTTTTGACGAATCAAATGTTTGATCGTCTTCGGTTTTTGTTTGAAAGACACGTCTCTTGAAATCGACTGCCTTTTTCACGAGTGTCTTGAGACGATCAAATGTGTCATTTTCATTAATTTCTTTGGCAAAAAGATTTGTTAGTTTGTAAAAAATTTGTTCATTTTTGATAATTTGCATTTGATTGTTTGATTGATGTTGTAAGGAAATTTGTGTTGTTGGTTCAATGTCATCGTCGTGATCACGTTTTGAATTACGATGACGATGATTGTCATCTTTGCCAATTTCGTGCTCGTACTCATCGCCTTGTGGAAAGTAGTCATCATTTACTGTGCGATCCATTGAAATGTTGTCGAATAGTTGAATTTTTGTTGAATCGTTGATGGCAGGGACCTTTGAAGAAGAGGCGAATGCTTTGAGGATCTGCCATTTTTTTAGATAGGCCAGGAGAAGCTACTGAACTCGAAGCAAGGGCCCCTGCTGCCGTAGCCTTCCCCAGACTCTGGCAAATCGGACTTTTTTTTCATTTCATTCTTTATAGATTTAAACACGTCAACTCGATTAATTTTTTTTTTTTCAAGAATTCAGTTATTTAGAATTTATTTTTTTTTATAAGAAAGTCGATAGCTTTAAAGGATTTTTTTTTTTGGCCCTTTTGCAGTCGACTGAGGGTGAGAGTGAAAGAGGCAGGAGGTGGAGCCACGGCATCAGGTCTTACAAGTTCATTACTCCAAATTTTTTTCTTTCTACAATTATTCTCATTAGATTTGATTACAGAAAAGGAGTTTTTAAAAAAAATATTTTTTTTTTCTATTTTGAAAGAGCAATTTTTATTGAAAAAAATTTTGAAATTTTTAAAGTAATTCCTTTATTGTAATCTTCCTCTAAGAGTTTTCATTTTTTTCATAGACAAAATAATTTAAAATAATTCACTAATAATTGACATTGAATAAGATTTTTAATTATTTGAAATGATAATTTAATATATAAAAAAAGATTTTTTTATTTACTTACTTTACCACCTATGATGTTAATTTGATGGGGGGTGAAAATGCTTGTTTGGCCTCCTTCAAACTAAAAAAGGATAAAAATCATGTAATTCTAATCATAATTATTAATAATTCATAATTAATAAAATAAAATTCGATTAATTTGAATCTAAAAATGCTTACATTTTTATAAATAAATAGTTAAAAAATTTGTAAATAAATAATTAAATAAATAAGTAAATAAATATGAATTTTATTTCAAATATTTAATTCTGTTTTTTTTAAATATGCAAATTTTATAATTTAATTTTTTTTTAATTGGAGGACATTTCTTCTTCTTGCAGGAATCAATTTTTTTCTGCACAAGGATCATCTAATTTTGGTTTTTTCTTATTACACGAATCATTTTCATCTTTCTTGCATGAATCAATTTTTTCTTCTTTACATGAATCTACTTTTTCTTCTTTCATTTTCTCAAAATTTTTTTCTTCTTTTTTCTCACAAGGATCCTCCTTTTTACATGGATCTTTCTTCTTACAAGGATCCTCCTTTTTACATGGATCTTTCTTTTTACAAGGATCCTCCTTTTTACATGAATCTTTCTTCTTACAAGGATCCTCCTTCTTACATGGATCTTTCTTCTTACAAGGATCATCTTTTTTACAAGGATCATCTTTTTTACAAGGATCATCTTTTTTACAAGGATCATCTTTTTTACATGGATCATCCTTTTTACATGGATCATCCTTTTTACAAGGATCATCTTTTTTACATGGATCATCTTTTTTGCAAGGATCATCCTTTTTGCAAGAATTATTCTCCTTTTCTTTTTTCTTGCAAGGATCTACTTCTTTTTCTTCTTTTTTGCAAGGATCCTTTTTCTTGCAAGGATCAGTTTCTTTTTCTTTTTTCTTACAAGGATCAATTTTCTTCCCCTTCTTGCAAGGATCAGTATTTTTTGTGCCATTCTTCTTACAAGGATCAAATTTTTTTGCTTCATTTTTTTTACACGAATCTTCTTTCAATTTAGCTGATAATTCTTCTTTTTGTTTCTTACAAGGATGTTCACGATTTGAATCTGTGCATGAGCTACGATCTTTTTTTTCATTTTCAATTTTATTTCCAGGACATTTTTCTTCTTTTTTCTTTTTACATCCATTTGAATTTCCACTTTTCATTGATTTCATTTTTTTGCAATAATCTTCAAATTTTTTTTTATAATTATCTTTTACTCCGCCTTGTGTTAAAAAACGAATGAATTGAAATCGATTTATTTCGCGAATGAAATTTATTTTGTTGCCATAAATATTTAGGGGGAGATTTAATTTCGCAGAAAAAGTTGAAAATTTTCTACACATTATCCAATTTGAATTTAAATGTTGTTTATTTAATGAATTTTGATAATTTATTTTTCTTAATTTTTGAATATTTTGATTTTTTTTCTTGTTATTCCAAAATCTTCGTGAGTCCATTTTATTTTGTGAAAGTTGACAATTGTTGTTCGTAAAAATTCGTCCATCCTAAAACAAAATATGGGTAACTGCTGAGATTTTTTTATTTCATTTAGCAATAAATTTTTATATATTTTATTTATTAACAAAAAAAAAACAAATGAAAAAATTTTAATTTCAAATAATTCAATGGAATTTAAAAAGAATTTTTTTTTACATTAAATATAAAATTATAATATATTTGAAATTTAGCAAAAAAAAATGTTGAAACAATAATTTAAAAGCTTTAAAAGTTATTTTAAGTTTTAAAAAAATTGTTTTTAAAATAATTTTCATTTTTAAGTTATTTATTAAAAGACAGCAGTAACCCAAATTGTTTTAGAATAGTGTCAACCAAGTGGAAAAATTTTTTGACGATAGTTTAAAAAATAGAAACTCGGAAATATTTTTTTACATCAAAAAAAGAAATGTCCTCCACTTTTAAAGCCTCATTTTTGTTCATAAGAAGCTTTATAAATTTTTAAATTGTTGGTTATCAATTATTAATTAATTTAAAAAAAAACTAATTTTAATATAAATCAATTAATTAATTTAATAAATATTAATTTTAATATCAATTAATTTAATAAAAATTTATTTTATTATTTTTAATTTTAATTTTTAATTAAAAAAAAATTAGTATCGTCATCAAAATTAAATTAATTTTTGAGGTTTATTTCAAAATTACTAGCTAATTAATTAATTTAAAAAAAAAACAAAATAAAAAATTCTTGAAAATTTTGCTCAGAAAAATGAAAAAAAAAATTTATACCTGTGAAAAATAGGGCAGCATTTGCAAATTATTTGTAGTTTCAACCTCCTCAGCAATTGGCAATTTTTTCAAAATTTCGACCAGATCATCCGAATTTTCCTAATAATGAAACATTTGTTAATTTTTTGAAATTTCTAAATTAAAAAATAATTACCTAAAAGTTAGAAAATTTAATTATTTTTAATAATTATATTTATAAAATTTAAAAAATTTATTTATAATTTTGAAAATAATATACCTTTGTTTTTTTTTTATTTTTAATAGCAATGAAATTTTATATTTTTATGTTAAAAATAATTATATTGAAAATCATAATCTTACATTTTTAGCTTCAAAATTCGAAAGTTGACTTTCTTTGAATGTATTTTTATTCAATTCCGAACTTGCGCTTTTTGAACTGAATTGAAGTCGAGTTTGAGTTAATTCAGGCATTGTCTGTAAAAACAATTAAATTTATCTCCCTTAAATATCTTGAATTCTCTTTTCGAAACAATTAAAAAACTTTCGAGGGAAAGAAGTCATTAAAAACCTTTGAGCTCTAATATTTCATTCTTATTGTAGCTATTAATTTTCAAGTCACAAACATTTTATCTCATTTTATTTAATCTTAATTTAATTCAATTAATTATATTTTGATGTTACTAAATTTTTTTTACACTACAATATAAATAAATAAATTAATTATTAAAATAAATAAATAATAAATAACTTTTAAAATAAATAAATAAATAAATTAATACTAAAAAATAATAATAAAATTTTAATATTAATTATGGGAATTTAATTAAATTATTTGTGTTTTGATATTTAGATGAATTTATTTATAAAAATCGATATTAAATTGAAAGTTGAATAATTTTTCATGAATAATAAATTAAAAAAAAAAAATAATTTAATTATAATACCTTTCCAAAATTGTGTTCTGTCGTTGTCATTTGTTCTAATGGCCCAAAATTTTTGACAGCCGTCGGTTCAAATTTTATACCATTTTTCAAACATGGGGGCAAAGTGCTGCCCACCTCTCCAGCTGTTCCAATTGCCTGATATAAAAAAGATAATAGAATTTAATGTTTTACTTATCTCGATGTATTTTTATTTTTTTTCTACTAATTTCAATATTACAAAAATTAAAATTCAATCCATTAATTATATATTAATTATTTTAAATCACTTTTATTTATTTATTTATTTAAATTTAAATATTTTATAATAAAATATAAATCATTTTTTCTATTTAAAAATCACATAATTATCTATTTTGTAAAAAGATAAATGAATAATTTGATTATTAATTTATTTTTTAATTAATTTAATAGATTATTATTAATTATAATATTAATTATAATTTAATAATATATTACAGTTAAATAAATGATAAAAATTAAAAAAAAAAATTAAATTAATTATAGACAATTAATTAATTTAAATTAAATTCAAAAAATGAAAATTATTAATAATTATTAAAAAATATTTTTTAAAGCAAATTCGACATTTTTCGTTTGCATGACAATTATTATTGAAAATTAAAACGAACCTTTAAATTTCCTTCAACACTAAATCTGCATTGACCAAGAGAGCGGACGACTGATTTTGATGCTCGCGAAAACATGATTATAAATTTTTTTTTAATTAAATTTTTAATAAAAAACTTGAAATTTTAAAAAACGATCAACTAAGGCCTAAAAATTTTCCAAACTGATTGAATGTTGATTGCCGGTTACTATGTGAACGAGGTTCATGTTTTCGTTTGTTTTTTTTTTTCGCGTTTTCAATTTTTATTCATTTGTTCATTTAAAAAAAATGTCACGTAATTATTAAGAATTTATAATTTATTTTTGATTGATAATTCTAAATTTTTTTAAATAATAATATAAAATCAATTAATAAAATAAATGAAAATATTAAATTAAAATTTTATCTCCTATCGCAATAATGTAAAGAAAAAATATTTATTACTATTAAAATTACATTTTTTTAAATTATTTTTTATAATTAGAAATAAAATATTAAAATAAAATTTTTTATAACAATAAAAACCATTTGATTTTTAAAAATCAAACAGTGGCGCTCTCTTTGAAAAGACTTTTACACTTCATTATATTTCGATTCGAATTCCCTGTAAGGATAAATACATCTTTTTTAAAACTTATCCATCGAGCAAACGCTCTGGATTGTGCTGACCTCTATAGTATAAATGTTACATTGATAAATCGAACTATCTAATATTTAAATAATTTTGAAAATAAAATTTGTTTAGTTCTTATAATTAAAAATATAAATTAATTAAAAATTTAATCAAATAAATAATAAATAAATAAATAATAAAAAAATTTGTTCAATATCTTAATTTGCATAAAAGCATAGTATTTTAAATAAAGTTTTATTTATTTATTTTATCTTAATAATTAATTTTAATTAATTTTCTGAAATAAAAAAATAAAGACAGAAAAATTAGGAAAATGAATAACATTGAAATTTAATTAATTTATTTATTAGTGTACAAAATTTTGATGGTTACATATTTTTTATAATGGAAATGTATGGAAAAAATTGGAATTTAAATTATTTGCAAATTTATGCAAAAACAAATAAATAGAGACTATAGTAAATAAATTATTTTCCAGAAGACATTTGTGAGATTTTTAATGAAAAAAAAAGTGAACTTATTTAAGGGAGAGTGATTTTTTTTTCTATTTTTCTCATATTTGAATTAATATCCTTCATTGGACCAAGTGACTTCGTAAGAGGGATACTTCTTCTTGATTAGATCAACGGACACTTCATGATCTGCTTTTCCAAATCCCTGAAAATTAAAAAAGAACAATAGTTTATTATCAAAAAAAAATTTACTTTTGAGACAAAGAAATAAGTAAATTTTAAAATAAATAAATTAAATAAAATTTGTTATTTATTTATTTTTTTTTGTAAAAATGTATATTTATGGAAACATGAAGAAGAGTGACATTCCATGAGGTCACTTGAATCATTACCGCGCCCTAAACGATGTTATCTTGAATTGGGTAGCTATAATGTAAATTTCTGATGGATGTGATTGAATCTAAAGTTTATTTTATTTAATTCTCCTTTTCTCGAAGATCTTTTTAAGATTAAAATATTTTCCTTAAACTAGTAAATGATTATAAGATAAAAATCTTTTATTTCCTCAATATTACCGCTATTTAATGTCTTACTATATAATTTTCCATTATTTTGCACCTTCTAGCTTATTATTATAGATGATACATTTTTTTACATATACAGAACCATGATTTTAATTTTTCTAATTGTGTAATTAAACTTTCTTTTTTTTTAATTATAAAATAACCTATTTAAAGTTATATTGAATATTAACACGACTATTTTTCTACTTGATTTCTAAAGAATTTCCATTTAGAGAAAGATGAAGCTTTCATTGTTGCGAGTCAAGCTCTCATAAACTAATTTCCAGCTTCAGTTCATCAAGGCTGTGAATAAAAAGTGGGTCACGAAAAGAAGATTAATGAATTCATGTATTATTTTTTTTCAAAGCGCTTCGTACATCAAAACTCTTGTTTTTTTGTATTTTAAATAAATAACAAAAAGAAAAAGAGGAAGCGTTTGTTTTAAAGCCTGCCTACTTGGTATCTGACAGGTTTTTGAAGAAATATAAAAACACTATTTTCCAAATTACCTGAGAATATCCATAAACATTAATGGCATTTTCATCTGCGTCGTGTTTTATTCTTCCACCACCCACACATTTAGATTTTATGTTAGGACCCAATTTCTTCAATTTTTCTTCAACCTCGTCGTAAATATCAGCTGAAACACAAAAAATGATATTCGATTAGAAAATGTCTGTATTTTATAAAAATTTCACTAAAAAAAAAAAAATTATTTCGATATTTTGTTTTCTCATTGTTATTTAAATTAGAAAAAAAAATTTCCTGATTCTAAGAAAATGTAGCAGTTGAAATTTCATAAATATAGAATAAGGACGATACTGAGAATTTTTCATCATGACAAAAAAGAAAAGAATACTTTTGTAATGCGGCAACAATATGAAGTGTGCACGTCAGTTAGGAAAAATGGAAATGAGTTAACATATTTTGCACTCAACTTCAGTCTGAGATTGTTCGATATATCTTCACTGTTTATTTTATTCTCACCTTTTTTTTTACTTCAATTTTTTCTCTTATTTTTATTTTTTTGTGAACTTCTATATTATTTTCAGACATGAAAATAGACGGGAGATTTTTTTCTCGAAAAAAAGACAAAATATTTCGTTTAAAAATAATTTATTTATGAAATTAATTTTGGTTATTTAGGAAAATAACTTCAATAGCCGTTGAATATTTAATTTACTGTTATTTGTAAGTGAATACTTAATAAATTGCTTATAATTGGAAACGTGTCGAATATCGCATCTGAATATTCTCCACAGCATCATACTCAATTCATTAGCATGGCATACCAACGACTATAGATATCAAGGCTTCAATGTAAAACGATATTGACTATTCTGTTTGTATGATAATTACAACGGGATTCTTATTCAAAATATGCTTGAAATGTAACTAAAATTATTTACAAATTATCACTAAAAATAGATATTAATTTCTAGACACAATTCAAGAAAAAAAATTTATTTATTTACTTATTTAATTTTAAATTAAATTATTTATTTACATTAAATATAAATTAAATTTTAATTTATTATTTAACTTGAAAATTATATACGAGAAATTATTATAAAAATCTATGAATTATTAATAAAAACTGTAATTTTTGTTGCAGGAGAATTCAAACTTAAAAGGATTGCGCGCCACTTCTAATAATATTTTCAGCCAATCAACGGCTGGCGTTCTTAGCGGGAAGTGTGTACCCCCACCTACAACGTTGTGCGCTTTTTCCAGTAGAGTAATATTAACAGCCAATCAGCGCCCAACATTCTCAGAGAAAAGCCTTTTCCACCACCACCAGCAGCGTCGCGCGTCACTTCCGGTAGATAATTATTTTCAACCAATCAACGCCTGGCGTTATCAGCGGAAGCCTACAACGAGATTCCTCTCATCGACATATTTTCGGGTCTTCTTCGATTTCGTCCGCCATTAGCAACGTGTTGAGTTTGAGAAAATCAGCACGTCTGTCAATAAGAAGAGGACCGGAATTTCGGTGAGTTATTCTTAATTACTAATCCCTAATACCACCTCCTTTTCCAGGAAGTTAACAGGAAGCTAACCATGTTAAATTCCGAATTTAACTATGTTAACTTCCAGTTAAGTTCCATGAGTTTCTCTATATCCCTTTTTTTCTTTCCTTTGTTAATTTTCCGGTAGCTATCAATAATAATTTACTGGAAAAATGCAAAGGACAGTTTGTGAAATATTAAAGTTTAAGTTTTAGACTGTAGTTTAAAATTTTTTTAATAAAATATGTAAGCAAAGTACTCTAAATAATTAAATTTGATTTTTTCCGAAAATAAAATTATAAGTTTTTGGTAAATGGGACGTTCTACTTGAAGCGGACAATCTCGAGCTTCGTTTCTTTTTCAATAATTTTACTTTTAAATATTACTATTTTAATAAAAAAAACATTAAACAAAAAAAAATATGTGTGGCCTTTGTAGTAAATTTAATTACTTTGATGTCATTAAATTTACAACAAAATGTACACCTATCTTCGTAATGTTTAAAAAGTAATAATATTGAAAAAGAAACCAAGGCTGATGTTTGCTTCATCTAGAATGCCCCAATTATATTATATATATAAAATATTTTATTATATTTAATATATTTTTCCATTATATATTTAGTTGACATAATTTGTATGAATATTATTTTTTAAAAAATTGTTTTAAAACAAAAAGAGTGTTAATAATAAAAAGATATTTTTTTAGTTTTACCGTTTATTTTATTTATCTATATATTAATTGCATTTTTATTATTACTGTGTTTAATATTGCTATTCATAAATTATACATTTACTGCTGTTTTAAAAAATTATTGGAAAAAATATAAGAATAATAAAAGTACCAACAAAATTATATTTTGAATCAAATAATTGTATATTATTGTCATCAGTGAAAAGTAATAAGTAATAAGGTTGTATCAATAATATATTTACATTTAGTAATATGTTTATTTATTTTCCAAAAATTTTTAATACAGCAGTAAATTACATTCATTAAATAACAATATTAATTACAGTAATAATAAAAATGTAATAAACACAAATATACAAAATATTTGGTGATAAATTTTTTAAATTGACCCTCCTTTTGTTGAGACCAATAATAATTTTCTTATTCTTAAAAATCTGAAAATAAGCAGGACAATAGTAAAATAAACAAATAATTTATTTAAATTGTATTTTATTTAATGAACTTAAATAAATAAAAAAAATATAAAATTCATACAAAAATATTAACTAAATACATAAATCTGAAAATATGTAATATATATAAATAAATATTATAATATATACTTTAAACTTGTCTAATAAATTAACATTTTCAAGGAAATAAAAATGTAAATATTTATAGTACTTTGAATAGAATCTTTTAAAGAGAAAATTAAAACTATTAATAGTGTTTATAAAACTTAGACTTATATTTCAAAAACAATTCTTTGCATTCTTCAAAGAAATGAGCATTGATAACAGGCAGGATGTAAACAAAGAAAAGTGGAAAAAGAAGGACATTAGTATATAGAGAAATTCGTGGAACTTAACTGGAAGTAAGGATAGTAAAATTGGGAAACAAAACATCGTTAGGTGATAGTTAACTACTGAAAAATGGAGGCTTGGTAGGGCATAGTAAAGGAGGATACCACAACATAAGAAGAGAAGAGACAGTACAGATTGAACTTTCTTCATATTTTTGTCTTCCTTTTTGGTTTTGTCTTTCTATCTCTTTCTCTCCCTCTGCTCCTATCCCCCCCGACCTGTCATTCCTTTTACTCTCCCATATACCACAAGCTCCGATTTCCAAAAAGTTAAGTCTATGTTAACCATGTTCTTCTTCCAAATGCTCTCCCTTTACTTCCAGTGAAGTAATATAATACTCATATACGCTTGATTATATACTTTTTCATTATTTTTGTATGATTATTACTCATTATCATTATATTATTAATATGTGAAATAAAATTTTACAAAATTTACTTGTTTGTCCACTTATTTTATTGTTACCCTTCAATGCAAATTAAGAGGCCTCATATCGTAAATAATTTCTGACATAATTCTACCTTAACAAATGGTGGAAAAATATAGAAACGAAAATATAAAAAATTACCGACGTAGGAATCTACCTTACCAACTGATGGTAAAACAGGTTTTCTTGAAAAATGAAAATATAAAAAATTACCGACGTAGAAATCTACCTTACCGACTGATGGTAAAACAGTTTTTTTGAAAAATGAAAATATAAAAAATTACCGACGTAGGAATCTACCTTACCGACTGATGGTAAAACAGTTTTTTGAAAAATGAAAATATAAAAAATTACCGACGTAGGAATCTACCTTACCGACTGATGGAAATTACCGACCGATGATAAAACAGTTTTTTGAAAAATGAAAATATAAAAAATTACCGACGTAGGAATCTACCTTACCGACTGATGGTAATTACCGACTGATGGTAAAACAGTTTTGACAAATCCCAAAAATTTACCATCAGTCGGTAATTACCATCAGTCGGTAAGGTAGATTCCTACGTCGGTAATTTTTATATTTTCATTTTTCAAAAAACTGTTTTACCATCAGTCGGTAAGGTAGATTCCTACGTCGGTAATTTTTTATATTTTCATTTTTCAAAAAACTGTTTTACCATCGGTCGGTAATTACCATCAGTCGGTAAGGTAGATTCCTACGTCGGTAATTTTTTATATTTTCATTTTTCAAAAAACTGTTTTACCATCGGTCGGTAATTACCATCAGTCGGTAAGGTAGATTCCTGCGTCGGTAATTTTTTATATTTTCATTTTTCAAAAACTGTTTTACCATCGGTCGGTAAGGTAGATTCCTGCGTCGGTAATTTTTTATATTTTCATTTTTCCAAAAAAAACCGGTTTTACCATCAGTCGGTAAGGTAGATTTCTAGGTCGGTAATTTTTTTATATTTTCGTTTCTATATTTTTCCACCATTTGTTAAGGTAGAATTATGTCAAATTATTTACGATATGAGGCCTCTTAATTTGCATTGAAGGGTAACAATAAAATAAGTGGACAAACAAGTAAATTTTGTAAAATTTTATTTCACTTATTAATAATATAATGATAATGAGTAATAATCATACAAAAATAATGAAAAAGTATATAATCAAGCGTATATGAGTATTATATTACTTCACTGGAAGTAAAGGGAGAACATTTGGAAGAAGAACATGGTTAACATAGACTTAACTTTTTGGAAATCGGAGCTTGTGGTATATGGGAGAGTAAAAGGAATGACAGGTCGGGGGGGATAGGAGCAGAGGGAGAGAAAGAGATAGAAAGACAAAACCAAAAAGGAAGACAAAAATATGAAGAAAGTTCAATCTGTACTGTCTCTTCTCTTCTTATGTTGTGGTATCCTCCTTTACTATGCCCTACCAAGCCTCCATTTTTCAGTAGTTAACTATCACCTAACGATGTTTTGTTTCCCAATTTTACTATCCTTACTTCCAGTTAAGTTCCACGAATTTCTCTATATACTAATGTCCTTCTTTTTCCACTTTTCTTTGTTTACATCCTGCCTGTTATCAATGCTCATTTCTTAGAAGAATGCAAAGAATTGTTTTTGAAATATAAGTCTAAGTTTTATAAACACTATTAATAGTT